GAAGAATTACCAAAGAAATTACCACCAAGAAGGACGATTGATCATGAGATCGAACTTATTCCAGGTGCTAAAGCTCACGCTAGGGCACCATACCGTATGTCTCAGCCTGAGCTTGAAGAGCTTAGGAAGCAGTTGGGGGAAATGTTGGAGAGTGGAATCATTGTGCCTGCGAAGTCGCCATACGGAGCTCCTGTATTGTTTCAGAAAAAGATTGATGGTTCTCTTAGAATGTGCTGTGACTATCGAGCCTTGAACAAGATTACTGTAAAGAATAGCTATCCTATCCCACTGGTTGCAGATTGCTTCGATCGACTGAGTCGGGCGAAATATTACACAAAAATTGATCTTAGGTCCGGATACTGGCAAGTTTGGATTAAGGAGGAAACACTACGGTGGTAACCAGATATGGAGCCTTTGAATTTAAGGTGATGCCTTTTGGTTTGACAAATGCTCCAGCAACATTTTGTACTATGATGAATCAGGTACTTCACGGGTTCTTAGATGACTTTGTCGTGGTGTACTTGGATGACATAGTAATCTACAGCGAGACATTGGAGGAACATGTCCAGCATATGAGGCAAGTTTTTAATCGGCTACGGGAGAATGAACTTTATGCTAAGCCGTCTAAATGCTCATTTGCTCATACATCTATCAGTTTCTTAGGTCACATCATTGAACAAGGTAAAATTCGCATGGATTCGAAGAAGGTTACAGCCATCAAAGATTGGCAACCACCAAAAATCGTACATGATGTACGTTCATTTCTTGGGTTATGCAATTACTATCGAAGATTTGTGAAAGGCTACTCAGAAATTGCACTGCCACTTACTGAATTGACAAAGAAGAATAAGGATTGGGATTGGTCATCCCAATGCCAAGCTGCTTTTGAAAGGTTGAAGAAGTCCATGTGGACGAACCCGATTTTAGCCTTACCGGATATGACTAAACCATTTGAAGTTCATACAGATGCTTCAAATTTTGCCCTTGGTGGAGTCCTCATGCTAGAAGATCATCCGGTAGCATATGAGAGCCGGAAGTTGAACCAGACAGAACGTCGTTACTCGGCACATGAAAAGGAATTGTTAGCAGTAGTCCATTGTCTCAGAGGATGGCGTCACTATCTATTTGGATCTCCATTTATTGTGAAGACAGATAACACAGCAGTTAGTCACTTTATGTCCCAACCAAAACTATCGAGCAAACAGACTCGTTGGCAGGAATTCCTTTCAGAGTTCAATTTTATGTTAAGTATCGTCCTGGCTCTAGTAATCATGTTGCTGATGCTCTTAGTCGACGGGCCGATTTAGCTACCATCTGCTCTGTAACTGCTCTTTCAGGGAGCACAGTCTCCACGAACACTAGAGACCAAATTCGGGCACTTATGGAGAAGGATCCGGCTACCCAATATTTGGTCGACCTTATCAAGCAGGGTAAAACTCGACAGTTCTGACTAGATAGGAAACTAGTGAAGACAAAGGGAGACCGCCTATATGTTCCTAAGGGCGGAGATCTGAGGAAATCACTAATTACGGAATGCCATGACACAATTTGGACGAGGCATCCGGAAGAGGAACGCACTTGTGCACTACTACAACGTGCATACTACTGGCCTCAAATGCGGGACGACATTGCAACACATGTAAAAACTTGTCTTATTTGTCAGCAAGATAAGGCAGATCATCAGAAAAAGGCGGGCTTGCTAGAGCCCCTTTCCGTTCCAACCCAGCCATTTGAAAGTATATCGATGGACTACATTATTGGTTGCCAAAAGTTGAGGATTTTGGTACTATCATTATCGTGGTGGACCGTCTATCAAAATATGCAACTTTCATTACAGCGCCTAAGTATGTATCTGCGGAAGAGACAGCTCAACTCTTC